CCCCAGGGCGACCTCTCAAACTGAGTCATGCCCCTCGGCCCGAGACCACACATGTGCGGCCTGCCCGCCTGCGTCGTGCTACTCGGCTGCATGTTGCCTGAGACCACACCACACCTGTGCGGCCTGCCCGCCTGCGTCGTGCTCCTTGGCCCCATGCCTCCCGAGACTCACCTGCGCGGCCAGCCCGCCTGCATCGTGCTCCTCGGCTTCATACCCCCAAGACACGCCTGTGCGGCTAGCCCGCCTGCGTCGTGCTCCTCGGCTTCACGCCCCCGAGACACACCTACGCAGCCAGCCCGCCTGCGTCTTGCTCCTCGGCTTCACAACCCTGAGACACACCTACACGGCCAGCTCGCCTGCGTCGTGCTCCTCGGATCATGTCCTCGGTTACACGCCCCCCGAGGCCGCGCTTGCGCGGCCAGCCCGCCTGAAAGCTGAAGCCATGCCTCGGACTCCCGTTACAACGACCGACGCATAGCTTCTTTCCGGGGGGGGAATATGATGAGGATAATAATTACGATAAGACCCAGCTGACGTTAACCGCACCTCACGCCTCGATCGGCGTGACAGTACCCGGTCAAACGGACCAGAACACAGCTCGAGGCGCATTAACGCCCGCTCAGGCTCGGCTCTTCACGCCACGCAATGCCAGTGTCAGACACCACCATCTGCCCCTGCAAGCGAGCACATCAAACAACAGCAAGCTTCCCTATAAATACCCTCGCGCTCAGAACGAGCAGGAGGAGGGAAGGGGGACCGAGGGAGGAAAGAACACACCAGGGAGACACCTCAAACTCTTCTTCTTTCTACCCCCTCCACCATCTGCTGACATGATCGTCGAAGGGGTCGGGTCGCGCCTCCCGACCCGACCTGTGTGCAGGACCATAGACGGAGCGCGTCCCCAACCGAGGAGCCCCCTCCGGCGGAGACAGCTGACCCCGTCCTGATCGGACCGCCGTAGCCGACTACCTCGGCGAACCCGAGGGCCGCACCGGGAAGATCCCGCCATCCGGACCCGAACCGAGCCGCGTCGGCCCCGAGGCCACGGCTCCAGGCTGTTTACCACAACAATTGGCATTCAGGATGTCCAGCTCAGGTTTCTCATTTAGGTCTTCTACGACCAAATAGTCTACTAATTTATTTGGAGGATCCACAATACCTTCTCCCAGAAACATATTGGGTGGGTAAACCATCCTGATTAGCCAAAAGCTGTTGAAAACTAAATTTCAGTAGTGTTAGCACTCTCCAAGTAGAAATGAGATGTATAGGGCATACTGGCAAGACCAAACGTAGAGATGAGATGTATAGATATGCCTTTGGCAAGAGCAAAGATAGAGATGAGCACCTGATGCATGTTTCTTATCGCAGTATCGATATGGGTGATAACTACTGCACTTTCATTTTTTATCATGAAATTGTGAGAGCAATTAATATGTCCACAAGAGTGACAAAAGTCTCAAGTATAATAATGGAAAAGACAGCACTACCATATAGAAGAAAGCATGATTTGCAGTACCGGTCCGTACCGCCCGATACGGGCGGTATGTACCGGTTCGACAGACTTTCGGTACGCGGACCATATGTTACCGTTCCGACACTGTAGTAGTACTGTAGCACTGCTACAGTGCTCGTCACGCCTGAATATACCGCTCGGTACACCTGGGTGTACCGAGCGGTATACCGTATCGTACTGGTACCGAACCCAGATCGAAACTCCGGTACGGTACGGTATTGCGAACCTTGGAAGAAAGTATAACATATATTTCTTATTCAAGTTCAACTACTACTGGAAGAGTGCTTACCTCCTCGAGATCCCCAAAAAAACACTCGATTGCATCATTATCATCAGCCTCCAGATCTGAAATACAACTCACATCAGAATTGGTATTTTCATCAGCCATTATACATTCTCAACCTAGAGATAAAAAAAATCTCTGTTTCCCTGTGGAAATTCTATACTACACAATCAACAAGAGAAATATAGGGTACTTATATGCTTGAAGAAGGCATTCGCTTACTTGCGGGCAATTTTAGTTTCTCATATATTGTTATTAGGTACAGCCAATACTGAATCTTAGTCATAGCTTTTTCATCGGATGCAAGAGTAACTAATCATATTTACAGCTATCAATGATAAATGGTCTTCTTTCAGATTCATTTGAGTAATAAATTTAAACATTGATCTTTGGGTGGATATTATCATATATGGACGGACTTCTATGCAATGAGAAGGGCTAGCAGTTTAGATCTCTAACTCACAGCGAGTAGGTTTAACCAACGGTCATGTGACCTACCTTGAGCTGTGCCCTACTAGATTATCTAAAAATTTCCTACTCATTTCATATCATCACCACATATCAAAAAGATCCAAAGGGTGATGTATTGAGAGTAGCCACAGAAACAGAGTAGGATTAGGCTATGGTACTGGGGACTGAATAAGGATGCATTGGATCTATATTGGCAATGGTGTTTATGACTAACCAATAACATTAGTGAGAATATAGGTAAAGGATTGAACCACAATTAATGAAATGTTTACTTTACTAAATTGCATTCTGAAACTGGTGACAATTATTTATTCTTTTGGTGGAGAAGAAGAGAATCAGTGCATTCATTACAAGGAATGAAAATGGCCCAATTTGCAGCATGAATCATTCTTGAATGTGTACATCAGCTAACATTGAAATTAACTAGATCAGTGCACCTTCACTATAATCACAAAGTCCACCATATGACTGCTTAAAACATGCAACAAGGGTTAATATATCATTCAAAAGAAACACATAAAGCAAATTGGATACAACAAATAGAAACACCTTGAGCTGCAGAACTGCCGGATACCATGAGACCGAATTCTGTAAAAACTATTGCTGTGGCCTCTACAGAATAATCTTTGTACTACAGTAAACCAGCAGATGTAGTGTTTACAACAACAACCAGTTTAGCAGTAGATTGGAACACTTTTGTTGCATGTATATTCAAACTACTCGATTCTCGATAAAGAGGTAAATGAACTCACCGGTCTCCCATCAGCCCATCTCCCTTAAGATCACCTGTGCATAATTACTTAGCAGACTGCAAAACAGAACCAGATTGCATGTGCAACACAAAGAAAGAGCAAAATGCTAGGCTACTTGTCAACACAAAATGTTTGCATCAATTGATAATGATCGAAAAAGAAGCTAAGGGAAGTCTATTTAGGGTGAACATCTTTTGGTACACTACTGCTCATGAGATATAAATGGTATGTAGAACAGTTTATTATGAAGCTAGATTATGTTTCATAAGCTTTTCTACTTCACCCAGCAGAATCATCACCATCTCTGCACTGCCTAATGATTTCTCCAGCAACATTCCTCTCATTAATCTGCATTGCTATAGCTAGTAGAGAGACTTATACTTCTGAGACAAAACCATGCTTCCCTTCCTCAGGTCTGCTTCACAGCACGCTCGATCCAGAGTGACACAAGCTTGCTAAGAAGAGTCGGCTCCAATTCCTCTAAGCCTGTCAACCTCCCACCCCATAACCCCTGCCCTCACCAGGCTCCCAATTGTCCTCCAAGCCAAGCCCAAATCTTTCCTCCAGTCCCCCCTCGCCATCCTCTTGTACAGGTAGCTCTCGAACGTCATCCTCTGCACGTACTCATCTGCGCACAGTTCCACCAGCGCCTCGCGCCCGGCGTTGCTCCCGTAGAACACCTGCTGCAGCAGGTCCAGGAACCGGAACATGCCCCTGTACTCCTCGTCCCATTTCCTCAGGTACGCTGTCTTGAGGTCGGCTTCGGTCACCACCCCCCGCTCTTTCCACGCCCTCACGATGGCCTCCCCGCACATCCGCCCAGACTTGGCGGCGAAGTAAATCCCCTCGCCGGAGCACCGGGTGACGTACCCGGCTGCGTCGCCCACTAGCGCCGCCCGCCCCACCACCCGTCGCGGCCTCGGGTGCTCCGGGATCGGGTGCGCCTCCACCCGGATCACCTCCCCGCCGGCTATCTTGGGCCCGGCCCGGGCCCGGATCGCGGCCTGAAGCCGCTTGATGTCGGGCTTGGCGGCGGAGGTGCCGGTGCCGACGGCCACGTGGTCGCATTTGGGGAAGACCCAGGCGTAGAAATCTGGGGAGACGTCGGCGCCGACGTACATCTCGGCGAGGTCCTCGTAGCGGGACATGCCGGCCGGGGGGAGGCGGATCCGCTCCTGGAAAGCGATAGCGGTGGTGTAATCGCCGGCGGAGATGGAGCGGGCGACGCGGCTGTTGGCTCCGTCGGCGCCGATGACGACATCGACGGCGAGGGCGGAGGGGGTGCCGGCGAGGGAGCCGGGGGTGGAGGGGGAGGCGGTGTAGTGGACGAGGTAGGGATCGGAGTCGGATAAGGGGAGGCGGATGGAGGTGAAGAGGCCGGGGAGGAGGCGGGCGCCGGCGTCGGCGGCGCGGCGGCGGAGGAAAGCGTCGAGGACCTCGCGGCGGAGCATGGGGATGTGCTCGTGGGGGAGGAGGGAGCGGCCGAAGTCGGCGGCGCGGTTGGAGGGGGAGAGGACGCGCATGCGGGTGACGCGGCGGTCAACGAGGGAGGACGGTAGGTCGAACTCGGACAGCATGCAGAGGGGGATGGCGCCGCCGCAGGGCTTAGATCCCGAGGGGGCCCGCTCGATGAGGTAGGTCTCGATGCCTCCGAGCGCGAGGGCCTCGGCGGCCGAGGCGCCGGCGGGGCCGCCGCCAATGACGGCCGCCCTGAGGGGGCGGGCGGAGGATGCGATGATGATGGGGGCCTTGGGAAAGGGAGGCGGTCGTGTTTTGGTGGTGGTGGTGCGGGTGGTTTTGAGGGGGAGGCCGGAGGTGAATGGGGAGGAGAGAAGGTAGTGGCAAGTGGCAGCCATCGGTGGCGGAGCGGAGAGTGAGGTGCTCAGCTTGGCTTCTTCTCGATTCAGCTCCTGAGTGCGACTCTTTTGTACTCAGGAAACGATTCCGGGTTCCGGAAAACCTTCCCTGTCTCGCCCGAGACACGAAACAAACTCTCCTCCCGTCGCACGCGCCGCACGTTGCAGCTGACACAAAACGCAGTGGCGGTCCCCACAATATTCTCGTTGTTGTGCACACCCAAGAGGGGGCAGCGTGAGCAGGCGGTCCACGCGGGATCCGTGAGTCGTTCGTTCGTCAACACGAAGGCACTTTTCGGTCGTGGTGTGGGGGAAGAGTCGGTGCCGGTCCCGTGACAAAGCAGTCTCCCGGCACGTGGCTCTTCGCTGTGGTTTTTCCGCAGTTAATGCGAAGCCGACTCGTCTCGATCAAGGTAAGTTACTGGGTATAAATTAGACGTAGCGTTAACATCATGGTTATCTTAATATTCTTTTCGACCCATCAACAAGACAAAACACTTGTCAACGTTTAGATCGATGCGACATATACCACCATCTTCAACATGTTTCTATCCCTCATATTTCAATAAACTTATCACATCATTTCCATATGCAGGAATGATTTTGGACTGAGATGAACTAATGGTCATAGTGATGTGATGCTTGGATATACATCCTGTAACATCTCAATTGATGAACTAAATGCGTTGGACAGTTCGTCCATATCCAACAAGTTCTCTAGCTATCCTATCAGGAATCACTTAGGAAATGGGTTAGAAATATGTATTTATAGTTTGATTTTGAGCATACATTCAAAGATGAGGATTTTTTTACTTAATTATTTTTGTACATACATTCTTTGAAACCTTATCCACCTATTTGGATCACCCAAAGCTTCCGCTCCGAGGCTCCCTATGTACATCCGCTGATGATTCTAATCGCTCCATCCCAGCCCTTCATGTTGATCACAAATCAAAGATACATCACGCTGATGCTTCTGATCACTCGATCCCAGACGTTCATCTTGATCACAAATCCGATGGACGGACCGGCCCGGTGCGGGCCCTCCGCACCCGACCGGCCCACGTCTCCTCCCCACCGACGTCCGCAGCCGCCGCCGCCGCCGCCTCAGCCACAGCCACAGCCGACCTCCGCCTCAGCCCCTCCAGCTGGGCCTCCCAGTCGCTCAAGCCCCCGCCGCGCCACGCCCGGGCTCGGCCCCCCGCTTCGTCCGCGCGGAACGCTGCGGCGGTCCAGCGGTCGGCCGAGAGGGCGAGGTCGTAGTGGCGGCGGTGGGCGGGGTCGGAGAGCACCTCGTAGGCCTCGCGCGCCCGCATGAACCGCTCCGCGTAGCGGCGCTCGTCCCCCGAGGAGCGGCACGCGTCCGGGTGCCACCGCCTCGCCTGCCTCCGGTACGCCGCCTTGATCTCCTCCGCCCCCGCCGTCTCTGCCACCGACAGCATCTCGTACATGGTGGCTGCCCGCACGGCCGAGACCCGGAGTCGGGTCGTTCGTGCCGGAGACAAGGAAGGCCTATAAATGGAAGAAGAGAGAGAAATCATGCTGGGGTTAATGTTCTCGGAAAGTGGTAGGGCAAAAAGGCTTATACATGATGAGGACCTATATAGCCAGGTGTGTATGTGTGTGTGTGAGTGAGTGAGAGAGAGAGAGAGAGAGAGAGAGAGAGGAGAGCGGATTAGCGACAAGGTGGGTCATACACGAGCATTGCGGATAACCATGCGATAACAGGTAAAAGGAAAGGACAATGGAGGGCAGTTTCGGGCTTTCATCTTCGTCGCTCGTGCTGGCCAGGTCATCACTTGGTAGGCTTCTAGAAGGATTCCCTTCTCACGTTGTGTTAAAAGGGCGAATTGTCGTTTGGCAACCCCTTATTATTAATTATTTTTTAAAAAAAATAATATTTTATTATTTATCATCTTGGTATTATTAATTTTATTATTTTTCCCTCAACAGCATATGCTCTCTGTCGATGCCGACTCTCTCCCGCACGCTTGCCTCCCTCGTGATGTCGTCCTTCGATAAGAAGGATGAAAAAAAAGGTCTAATATATTGTCATTGGATATTTGATTTCAAGATTATGATATCAATCGTAAAAAATCTATAATTATATTATTATATAAACAATTAAATATTAAAATTAAAATTAAATATTAATTAATTAAGATTAAAACTATATACTTTTTGATATTATTTAAAAAAAATTATTCGATCTATCTAGATACTAGACTCAATCGTTAACGAATTCGAAAGCTATAATAATACCAACCTAGAAGGAGAATTAGATTTATTTTCTTCTTTGTTCCTATCATTCAAAAATAATTTCAATTAAGAAAATCTCATAAAGAATCATATGGACTTCTTTTTATTGATCGATAATCATATTTATAATATAATTAAATCTATAATATATCTTATCTAATTGAATAAAGCCACGTAATAACACCACTAACCTAGTTTTTTTCCTTCTCTTTCTCCACCACCTCCTTCTTGTCTGCTTCCCTCATCCTTCACCTTCGATGACTCTCTTCCGTTGCCTTCTTATTCCTCATTGCCTTTGCCTCCTCTTTTTTGTTATTTCCTTCTCCTCCTACCCTTGCCTTCTTTCCATCCTTCTCCTCTCCTTTTTCTTCAATCTCATATTATTTCTTCTCATCCTCCTTCATGTCATTTATGTGTTTGTGGGTATTATCATTATGTTGCTATATTATTGGAGAAAATTATCACCACGATATCACTGAAGCCTTGGCAACGTCGATAAACCCCTGACATTAGTGAATTGTTCACTACATTCATAATATGCAAGGCTACGTGGTTGTGCCATGAAATTATTAAGTAAAATATTGTTGCTACATTATTGAAGCTTTGGGAGCATCAATAAAACCTTAGGTGCATCAGCAAATTTTTCACTGCATCCCCGAATCATTCCGTGAAGTTTTCAATGAATGTGTCATAATATTATGAATAATTATATACTGTTGTTAATTTTGAATATCAAATTATCATTGCATAATTGATCTTACAATCTTTGTTATAATTATGTTTTAGTTAAATTATAAAAGTAAATTAATTAAGTTAGATCTTACGATCCTACGACATGTCAAATTTCATTAATCATCTTAAAATTATATTATACTAGTAAAAATTTAAATAGATTTTATGAAAATATTACATTCGATTTTTGAACTAAGTTATACTCAATCATAAATATACTGCCTAAGTGTCTAAAACACAAACAGTTAAGCCACATCCTCTGCCTAACCACAGTTAATAATGCCATCTATTTGAATCAACGACAAATCCAGTTGGAATCACCAAGGAGAATTGGCTGGCAATAAACACTTCACAAGCTACTACTGTCAAGCCAAATATACGTGCAGCAATCGAAGAAGCCATTAAGCTCGGTCTGTGACCGATTTAACTTTGTTCACCAATCGCAAGGCGGGTACGGTAGCGGGTAATCGACAAATGGGTAGATTTGCTACGCAAAAAGGCCCGACGAAACGGATAAGCCTGTCCGTGCGCTGACGTCATCCGTCGTCCACTGTGGGTAGGCAGCCACGTGCAGGATTACCGGCCCTCCCGCCTTCTGCAGGTGACGACAAGTGTGAGCCCGGCGCGAGCGTGATGGACGGCTGAGGGACGCCCGGAGCCGATGCGCACGCGCAGAGCCGACGCGTACGCGTTCTCGGCTGCTTTGCTCGATCGAAGCAAGACGGGATTCCTATCCTTCTCGACGAGATACATATGATCAGCGATCCGGTCCGTCTCGGGCGGATGCAACTCATTGAGTCATTTGCATGCAGGATTTGAGGATTTGTAAGTAATGAATTAGGTTTTTCGATTAGTGAATTTTTAAGTTGGTGTGTGGGTAAAGGAGGAATTGTGTGCTCTGCTCTTTTATCAGGTCACATGCCCCTGGAAAAGGCCGAGAAGCAATCAAAGAGTTCGCGGGAGCACGGAGCGAGGGCCAGAGGAGTCCACCTCACTCTCTCTCTCTCTGTACCTCTCTCATGTCGTAGCCATCCCTCATCATTTTGTTACGGACCCTTTACTCGTTTACTGTCTCTTTTCTCGCGTCCTGTCTTTGTTCCATGTTCCTGGTCTCTATGAAAGCTGAAGGCTTCTGAGGGATCACCACCTCCGTCATCTCAGAGCTGAGGAGAGGCGGCACGAGCGTAGGAACCAAGCCGGTTGAAGTTGACAGGGGATAAAAAGGTGCGATTTTTCCTCTGCTTCTTCTTCATCTTCCCTAAAGTTGTCGTCTTTTCTTGTTTCTGCTTGGCACTCTGTATCTGTTCTGGTGGATCTCTGCGGCTTTTCTCTACTCGGTGTCGGTACTTCTCCGTGCCCTCGGTTTCAGTTGCTTCTTGCTGCTTTTCCGACTTGTTTGGAGCTCTTCGGTGGATCGGCGGTTGGGGTTTCGGAGCGTCGGTTTTGTCGGCTCTAATGACAAAGAAAGGCGCTTTGATTAGCCATTCGCCTCTGCTTTCCCCTCTTCAATTCAAGTCTTTGTTCGTTCTACGATCTTAGATTCAGGCCATCTTTGATTTATCGCCGTCTATCTCCTAAAAATTAGCGAGCTTTTCCTTGTTTTCTAGTTTCTATTCTTGCCTGTAAGAAAAAAAGATAGATTTTTCGCGGTTTTGTTCTTTATCTTCCATTTCCAGTGAAAAAAGCGCGTTTCTTTGCTTCGGATTTGGATTCAGCATCAGCACACGTTGCAACCCCGTCAAGTCTCCGTTTTGATTAGGCTAGACAACCTCGGTTTAAGCGAGGAAGACGGATTGGTGTCCGAATCCCTCGCCCTGTTGTTCCTAAATTATTTTTCATGGTCTGTCTCTCAGTTGCATGATTTGTCGTTCATCCTCGATCGAAAACTTCCATCCCTCCGTTTTGATCTTGTCAGAATCTTATCAAAGAGCTGACCGGGAATTTGAATGTTCCAGGTGACTAATTTGGTTGTTGTTTGTCCGCTGAAATGATTTCTTTTTGTGCGTGTGAAATTGGTTTATCAGACCACTAAAATCTAATTGGTGCTTCCCCCTTTGGCAAATCTGCTTCTTCCTTGTACAGTCCGTTC